GATTTCTTGTGGCATCTCTGAGCATACCTGCCAGATGAATTTTTACAGCTATTACCACTCCCTAAGCACTGTACTGAAAATTTTATTCTCAGAAGTTACCAAAACATTCTCCTTTTGATATCCTAGGTCTATAAATGGTACCATATTTTTCTAGACTTAGGCTTAAAACCACACTCACACTTGCCTAATTTTTATCCTGATCTTTACTTTTTCCACCTAATCTATTGTCAGACTTTATAGGTTTTGGTTTTTTTTTTTAAGAAATCTCTCAGACGAGCTCTCACATACTTCATTTCATTTTAATTCCCACAACCATCACTGTATTTCAGGTTCTTGTTATTACAGTTGAATTTTCACAAATACCTTCTAAAGAGTCTTCTTACTTATAATCTTCATCCAAACCACTTTTGCTAGATGAGTCTTCCAAAAGATTCATTTCTACACAAAAATCTTTGGATTTTATTTTAGTCTTCATAAAATAAATTTCTAATTCTTCAGTGTAACATAAACCCCTCCACACTTTCATTTTAACAGTTTAAATCCTTCATGTTGTATCTCAAATTCAACTTCCTTTTATTTTGTTTTCCTTGACATTCCAGATTTTAGCAGTCTCTCATCATCTTGAATGCATTTCTACAACAGTCTTCTATCTTTCAGTAATTTTCAAAATATGTCTTGATTTATCTTTATATAATTACATCCTTTTATGTTTTACCCTTTAACTGAAACTTTCAAGTATAGAATTCATGTTTTATAAATTTTTGAACCCTTTGTAATATCTAATACCTAGTGGTTAGTAAACATTTATTTGTGGGCAAAGGAGAGTGGGATTTAGGGCTACATTTTTCCCAGGGTTTTTTGTTGTTGTTGTTTGTTTGTTTGCTTTGAGTGGATAAGGTTTTTTTTGGGTTTTTGCTGTTTTTTTTTTTTTTGCTGTACGCGGGCCTCTCACTGTTGTGGCTTCTCCCGTTGTGGAGCACTGGCTCCGGACGCGCAGGCCCAGCGGCCATGGCTCATGGGCCCAGCCGCTCCGCGGCATGTGGGATCTTCCCAGACAGGGGCACGAACCCACAATCCCTGCATCGGCAGGAGGACTCTCAACCACTGCGCCACCAGGGAAGCCTGATAAGGTTTTTATTTTTTTTAATTAATTTAATTTTGGGGGGGCCGTGCCCCACAGCATGCAATATCTCCCCAGTCAGGGATCTTCCCTGCAGTGGAAGCGTGGAGTCCTAACCACTGGATCACCAGGGAGTTCCCTGGGTAAAGTTTTGAAAATATTTTAAAAAACGTACTTTTATTGTGTCCTTAAAACAATTCTGTAGGGTTAGGTTACATATCTCTATTTGAACAACTATGTGATTTCCATAAAGCAGTTCAATTACTGATAGACAGAGTCAGGTCACCTTATTCCTACTTCTATGTTCTTTCTGTTCCATTCTCTGGCCTCTCAGAATTTGACTCAATATTTCTTATTTTATTAAATTTTTTTTTAGGTCTCCGTGCAACCACCTTAGTAACAACATAGACTATGTTAATAATTTTTCTCTGAAACTGACCTCACTCTTGGTTCTCTGTTGGCAGAATAATCTTCCTATAGCTCATGAATCAAATGTACTTTGTTTTTACAACAGAACTGAAAAAATTTTTTTGCTTCCTTTACACTGCCTTGTATTCTTGATTCCTCTGTTTTAGTTCACTCTTTTATTCAAATCGGAAATACAAAGTATACTTGGATTGTTTTAAAACTGTCCCAAATATCTCTAGGGTTGACGCCACTGTTAAACCTCATGGAAATGCTAGTTTGTTTGGCTGAACCTGGGACTGGGATTTGGGGAATTATGATAATTATGGCTCATCTTATGATCCCAGGCCAAGTATTTATTTTTCTTTGCTTTCATTGCTCCATCAGCAAAAGGTAAAATTTATTCTGTGTAACCAGAAGGTCGATTGCAAAGAATAGTAAAAGTTGCATGCAGTTTGTGAGCTTAAGACTATATATAAAAGCTAAATATAGCCATCCCAACTGCTGCAGGGGATTAGAGCTTTCAGATCCTTCTCCCATGAGGCCCAGCAATGAGTTTATTTCCCAGCTCCATTTTCAAGACCAAATGACATAACACATTTTTAAATGATAAATCTGAAGTATTTTAAAATCTCAATAATATTAACAATGATGATGAAAATGATATATAGCCTTTGTTGAGCCTTAAGAGTGTACCAGATTCTGGATCAAACTTTACAAAACTCCTGAGAAGTATGTATTACTATCTCTTTTTTGAAGAAAAACAAAAATAAGTGAGGCTTAGTCCAGATAAGTGGCTTGTTTGAATTCACAGAATTAGTGAGATGCAAAACTCTCACCTCTCTGACATAAAACTTGAGTTCATAACCAGCATACCATATCACTTTCACTGACCAAGGCACTGGGCTCGCAGCAGACAGCTGTGAAGTGGGAACTCTTGTTCTTTGTGACAATTTGACTCATATTCTTAGTATAACAAGTATTGTTATGCTAAGAATATTTTAACAGAAAATAAATTAGAAAATAACTACAGTTTTCTGCTTACTTACAATTTGGTTTAAGTATATGGTCCTATGCTGTCTTTGTTGGTTTTCTTTCCTTCCTTCCTTCTTTCATTTTCTTCTTTTTCCACCTTCTTCCTCCTTCCTCCCTCCCTCCCTCTCTCCCTCCTTCCTTCTTTTCTTTCTAAAAGTTAATGGCTTTGAACTTCAATTCTATACAAAAAGGATTTGTTAAATTGACATCTATTTCCAACACCTATCCACCAAGTCTTCATTAAATTGTAGCAATATTTTGGAGACATTTAGAGCAAACTTTTTATTATTATTATTATTAGTGTAATTGCTTTACAATGTTATGTTAGTTTCTGCTGTACAGTGAAGTGAATCAGCTTTATGTATACATATATCCTCTCCCTCTTGGACCTCCCTTCTTCCCCCCATCCCACCCGTCTAGGTCGTCACAGAGCACCGAGCTGAGCTTCCTGTGCTTTACAGCATGTTCTCACTAGCTATTTTACACATGGTAGTGTATATATGTCAATCCTAATCTCCCAGTTAGTCCCACCTTCCCCTTCCTCTGCTGTGTCTACATGTCCGTTCTCTACATCTATGTCTCTATTCCTGCCCTGCATATGTGGAATCTAGAGCAAACTTTTGACTTTTGTGACATGTCATCTAATTTGAGATAGTAACAGTAATACCTTCTATTTATTGGGCAGTTTATTACTAATATCAGAACCTCTCTCTAGACAATTGTTCCTCAATTTCATTGGTATCAATGTAGCATTCAAGGTGTTTTGGCAACATAATAGAACAACTTTCTTCATCCCTTGGTTGTTACAGCTAACAGAAATGGCACAGCTGCATACAGGATAGACCATCATCCAGAAGTACACTCATTACATATTCATTGATCTCCTCCCTTGTGGAGGTATTGAGGCTTTTGGACCTTGTTAGATTCCACTAACCCATTCATTCATTCCACAACAAAACACTGGGCACAAGAGTGAACAAAACAGGTAAAATTCTTAATTTCATGGAGCAGATCCAATGCATATATTATAGTCATGTTCAACAATCTTTACATACTCCTTAGGCTGGGTACAGTTTGTCTATGGGCACAGGACTCTGGAGATTTGATGAAAAAACTCAGCTTAAATTTTTAGATTAATTATCATACAAGTATTTTTAGGTTGTTACTCTTTGGGCCTTATTAGTCTAGATGTATTTCTCCTTGGATAATCTTGGTTCACCTGCATTTTTCCTTTTGCCTTTTGTTTTCTTCAGTAACCTCAGCCCCCGACCCCTTCACCAATTACTCCCCCCACACTCCACCATTCTTTAATATTTTTAATAGCCCTGTCAGGCTTCATTTTATAGATGAGGAAATTAGACTGAAGGAAGTTAAATAACTTCCTCAAGGCCACACAGCTAGTCAGTGGTAGATATGGGATTTTGACTCATATATATCTCACTCCAAAAATTGTATAACCAACCACAATTTTTATTTTTGTACTCTTTAAAAAATTTCTTCCATGCTTTTACTGTTAAGTACTTAATCACATGGGATTATGACTTCTCTGAGATAGTCTGTGACTCCTGGCACAATCTAAACTCTGGTCTGTAACTGTGTGAATGATAAAAGCATATATTATTTTTGGTACAATTTTCAGCTTACAATGGTTCTGATCCATTGCAAATTGTAATGTTTCTAATACCATTCATTTTCAAGAGGAAAATCATCCATTTTCTTTGGGAAATTCTTCGGTCTTCTGTTCAATCCTTCCTGATCTCTACCAATCCCCCAAATCACCCAGCAGAAACCTTGTTCTATGGCTAACCCTGACATTTTTGAATGACTGTATATAATTATCAGTCTGAGGAATTCCTTTTTTGTGAGTGAGCTATTGCGAACTTCCAGTGTCTCAGGTTCCTTTATATAAATCTCCTCACCCAAAACAGATGAACAAAAGTATTACCTTTTCTGATAGCTGTTTTGAACTTACACATTTTTCTAATATGACCTGAGCTGAGGAGAGAGGAATTAAAAAGGGGCCCTATGTAAGCAGAATGAGTTCTTTTTGGAGAGGTCCATGGGGTCAAATCACACAAGGACACTCCACGGTTAGGAGCGTCGTTAGAACCTGTTTTACCTTAGCAAAGTTACTCAACCTTTCTGGGTCTGAGTTTCCTAATTTATAAAATTGGGTATGTCATACTAGACAGTGACTATACATCAGCATGGTGAAAGAGATTCTTAAGAACACAGATTCCCAGTCTCCACTTAGAGATTCTGGTTTAGAAGGCCTGAGATTGGATTGGGAATCTCTGTATTTTGACTACTTGCCCAGGTGCTTCTATTTTTGCAGAATGTCTCTGAAAAGAGATTGTGTGAGAACTACATAACATTCCATGCTTCAATACTTCAGTGGATTTTTGGTGTGACCCCATTAAGCCTATTTTTTTGCACTTAGGATCCCTGTCACAAGTAAGAGAGAGCTATCATCCCAGCTGTAAGCCTCTCATTCAGGGTTCTTGCCGCAGCCAGCAGTGTCCTTGGAGTCTAGTTCAAAATTGGAGAAAGTGAACCATGGAGCTGGGAGCCATTGGTGGAGGGGCTGGCCTGAAGGAAGTGAAGTGTTTCAGCCAGAATGTACTGACGCACAACCAGGAAACCACAGACTGGTGAAAACCTTTCCAAGCCTGAGCCCTGTGATCAAAAGAGGTACAGGAAGTAGCTCTGCCAAGAGTCCTTTCTGCTGCTGGCTGGAACCCTGAGCTTCTGAGGCTCTCTGAATCAACTCCCTGAGCAGATGCTGTCACCTACAGAGCCATTACTAAAGCATTTTCTTGCTTTGCTCTGAGGTGGCCCCACTGGGGGGTGGGAGCGAGTCGCTCTCTCTTTTTTTCTCTTTCTCGCTTCTTCCTTTTGGCAGAGTTTGTCATCTGATTGCTCACTTTGAGTTTTTCAGAAGCCATAGATTACTGGATTCTTACGCTTTGCTAATTGGCCATTGTTTGATGCTCATGGCATGTATACAAAAACCAAATCCTCAAACTCTTAGCAATACCTAGATCACCTGATCAGCAAATATCAATACAGAAATGAACTTCCTTTATTTATCACATCATAACCATTATCCCTTCTCCCAGGCTAGTCTTCCTTTGTTCCTTATAAAAATAGATTCAAACAGAAATTACATTCAGATCCCTGTCACATAGATCATGGCTGGATACAAGGTCAAAATAATTGTGTCTCTGTGAATTTTCTCTTTCCTTGGCTAGAGTAACTGCCAGTTGCCATGCAATAAATCACGTCATCATATAGCAGATCCAGTTAATAGCTGAGACTAGCAGGATAACTGAACCATGTCCTGAGAGCTAAGTGATGGAGAAATTGAACATGGAGCACTTCAAATTGATGACTTAGTCACGGGGTATTTTTCCTGGAAAGAACAGGATAATTCTGAACTATTGATTTTGTCAAGGGTACAAGCTCCCATGTAAAGGAAAATAAAGCAAGTGTGATGAACTTTTCATTTGGCCTTCTGCCTGGATTTCTTGCTTTTTGCCGTGTATTTCATGCCTCTGTTTTTATTCTTTAAACCCTGACTAGATGGCCCAGCTATATTGGCCATGTGGCTTACAATCCACACTCTTAATCTGCTTGTTTCCAAAATCTCAGCAAGAATGAGGTGGCCAATAGCTTTTATGAGACGATGCTCTGAGTCTTAGCTTAGGTTTCAATAAGTTTAGGAGACATTAAAAGTTCGGTGGGGAGAGACCCTACACCCTCTTTAAAGATTTCAGAGGTCAAGATTCAGGAGACGATACACACAAACTGAGCAACAACAATCAAGTGTTTTCTGAATTATTCCTCGCCTGGGACTATGATGTAAAGTAGAGACTTTGCAAACACATTGTGCTGCAGTGCATTTTGGGACATGCCTTTTTTGGAAAGTGCTAACTTTGTACACTGCTGACACTGAATATTTGAAAGTAAAACTTTTTCTCTCTCTCTCTCTCCTCTACTTTTGGCTCAGTTTATCCTACCAAAACACACTTCAAAAGACATCTTTATAGAAAGAATGTTTCAAAAATATAATATTTCCATCTGTTATTTTAATAATACATGCTCTGGGACTCTCTTTATGAACCATTTTCTTTTCTTTCCTCCCATTTAGATGTATAAATATTTGATTCAAAAGCCCTGAGGAATAGTCAGCCAATCAGGTTGCTGAATTGTGAACATTCCAAACCCTATAATTTTGTCTGTAGCAGGCATCTCCTGCTGTGGAACTAACTGCTAAGGGATATAGCAATGTAATCCTCAGACTGTTCCATCTCAAGGTTGCTCTGAAGTGGAGAGAAGGAAACAGTTTTAATTTTGATAAAATAAACTTTATTTTGTAACTTTATTATTTGTTTTTCTTTCTCCTTTCAACACTTCATAATAGACCTCTCTGGTAATTTGAAGTCAGCATCCCTCACTGAGGTGCCCTAGGCCACCCCATATTCTTGTAACTTTTTAAAGAGGTAGTCACACAATGTTTGGTCCTATCATTCCATAGTTCAGAACCCTATTTTCTTCTATGTCTTGTGAACCGAACCAAGCCATATACTAACTCTTATTAAACATACTCAAATGGTGCTTTCCCAATGGATGGCAACAGAAGATGTGTAAGCATTGTCATGCCACCCAGATATGTTGGAAATCTTAAACCATGTGCAAAACTTTAGTACTTTTCTACTTGTTAGACTTCACTTACCAGACCTCTACTTCAGTAATTATTGAAGCATTTAATGTTACAACATGAATTTAATGGGAACACCCTCTTTGATATAAACTCACACATGTTGCTAGGAATAAAAGATCTTTATGGATAAAATTTAATATATTTTGAATCAAGCTCAAAGAGATCTTTTGTTGTGTGTGAAGAATAAAATAAAAATTCCCTTTATAAAATTTTATGGCTAGATGGGTAGGGAAAAATATTTTCCAGGATCAAAATATTTTCTTATTTCTTCTTGAATTAACAAAAGTACAAAGTTATAGATATGCACATAAAATTAAGCTTAAGTATTAGAATGTAAATAGCCAAACCTTTCTGGAGACAATAGGGCAAAAATGTAGCAGAACTTTAAAAATGTTTATAACTTTGATCAAGAAATTATGCCTTTAGAAGCCTACTCAGGAAATAATCAGGAAATTATGACACAAAAGTATATATCCAATGATGTTTATCACTGCATTATTTAAAACAGTGAACAATGTAAAGAGTTTAAATTTAAACAAAAAAACCCTTTAGCATTCTGAAAAGGAAATCTCATATATTTAGTGTCACTTTTAAAAGATTGTTCTTAAATATTAGTCCTAAGTATTAATTTGAATATTGTCATCCTTTAGTGTTAATGAACTAAACACTATATTAAAAAATGCTCACTTCAATTTAGATATGATAAACATTAAGATGATAATTTCTAGAGCAGTGGTTAACTTTCACTTCTAGTGATGACAGAATAGTTTGTATCTGACCAACACTCCAACAATAACAACTTGAAAAGCTGGATAAATTCAAAAAAAATTTTTGATGACACTGGAAAACTATAAAACAGTTAGAAATAGAGGGTTCAAGATCTTCAAAATAATAGAAAAACAAAGAGATGAGCCTAACATTTGGTGCTGCTTTTCCCATCAAGGATTTCCCAGTTTAAAAGCAGCCAAGAAATTAATATACTGAGGGAAACTTTTAGCAGTTTTATGGGATCGAAGGGACAAAAATTAGATATTGCAGTCTGTGAAGGTGTTGTATCTGGTAAATAATCAGGCTTTCATGTGGGACCCCTCAAGGACTACAAACTGAGAATAAGAATGAACAGAATTAGCTCTAACAGAGACTGGAACAAGCTCTAAAATCAGTTTAATCCCAGTTTAAAATAAAGTGACCTGTGCAGGCCAATGGTCCACCAAAAGCAAAGTAAGTGCTCTGTGCAGGAAGATAACATCATCAAAATCTCCAACGATCTTTAAAATATTGCATACTCAATGCTGGCATTGAACAAAATGTCAGACATTCCAGTAAGTGAGATCAAATGATCAAAAGTAGAGAGAAAAAACACTCAGGGAAAAGAAAAATTAAAAAGACCTATAAGGAAAAACATTTATTAGAGTTATGAGACATGAGCTTTTAAATAAATATAACTAATATTTTCAAGAAAATATAAGACAAGGTGAAAAGTTTTAGCAGAGAACCAGAATCTATACAAATAATTGAATTGGAATTCTAAAATTAAAATGTACAATAACTGAATTTTTAAAGCAATAGATGGTTTTAAGAACAGATTAGATATAGCCAAGACAGAATTAGTGAATTCTAAGGTAATCAGTTTTAAAAAATCCAGAATAAAATATAGAAAGACAAAAAAAAGTTCAGAGGATAAGAGACGTATAGAAATGGAAAGAATGATAAATGTTTAATTGCAATCCTAGAAGAAGAAAGAGATAGAGAATGGGGTAGAAGTGATATTTGAAGACATAATGGCTGACAATTTTCCAAAACTGCTGGAAAACATCAAGGCATAGACTTGAGGAATGCTATGAATGCCCAATAAGAAAATATGAAGAAAATGACACCAAGGAAAACCATAATAAATCTACTGAAAACCAAAGAGGAGGAGAAAAATCTTAAAAGCAGCTAGATAAAAAATATTTTGATTTCAAAGAAGAAACAATGAGAATAATAACTGACTTTTCAATCAAAATAATGGAAGCCAGTAAATAATGGAAATCATATTCAAATAGCTGAAAGAAAAGAATTTCTTACCCCAAATTCTGTACCTGGTAAAATTATCTTTCAAAATTAAGGTAAAATAAAGAAATTTCCAAGCAATCAAATACTAAGATCCTTCATCAGAAGAACATCACTAAAGGTGATTGTAATGGGAGTTCTTCATGCAGAAGAAAAATGATCCTAGATGGAAGCATGGGAATACAGGAAGAACAAAAGAGAAGTTAAAGTGAAATACAGAGAAATGAAAAGGGTAGATATTTAAATAAATAAATAATAATAATGATGACGATGGTGATGATATCTTGTGGGGTTAAGAGATACATATAAATCAAAACACATGACTTGAGAAGCACAAAAATATAGATAGGAGTAAAGGAGTTAATGTCCTAAGGTAATTGCATGTGTAGAAAATGTTGAAAGTATCAATTTACATAAGCCTTTTATAAGTCAAGGGTGCATGTCATAATATCTAGAGTAGCCACTAAAAATAGTGGAAACATTTACAACCAACAACAACAACAAAAGAAAACAAATAGTAAAATGATAGGTTTAAATTCAAGTGTATTAGTAATTATATTAAAAATAAATGGACTAAATACTCCATCTTGAAGACTAAAATCATCAGACTTGTATTAAAAACACACACATACAACTGTATGCTACTTATAAGAGACACACTTTAAGTACATAAAAGATTGAAAGTAAAAAGGTCCAAAGATATATATCATGTAAGTTGCTTTACATGTGTCTTTGACTTCTTTCTCTACTTAAAGAAACCAGAAGTGAAAATCATAGACAAGACTTTGTGTGATTTGTGAGTGCGGTTAATATCAATACAAGAGAGAAAATTTGAAATTTCAGTCAGTGCATTCAAAATAAAGGTCTTGGCCTTCTATCAAAAGATTGTAAAATGAATGAAATTTAATGCTTTGACCTAAAATGAATATATTAGTTTGTTAGGGCTGTCATAACGAACGTAGTTTGTGGAGGTGATAGATATGTGATTTCTGCACGTATCTGTTTGTATGAATTAACATGAGTAAAAGGCTTTTGCTTAGGAGGCAGAGGAAGGAGTTATGTGAAAGAGTAAAAGTAAGGATGGACAAGAATGGCCAAGAGAATGGCATTATGTCTGCCTTTTCATCTGGCCTCATGAACTGATTTTTAACCTTTTTGTTGAGAGATATTATAGACCAAAGCTTCAGGGTCTCTTTTCCAGAAAGATTTGAAGGAACTCTGGGCACAAGCACAGCTGCTGTTGGGACCAGTAACAAAATGCAACCCAGAATAGGAAAGAAGAACTATTTCTGTCTCTTGCCTTACAGTGTAGGTCTAGTAATTTGAGGCTCAAAATGTCCATCAGCTTAGATTGCTTTGCCTAGTAGGGCAGGGCACTGGCAAGATGGCAACTGCAGAATCCCTTGATACCGAGGCTGTCAGAGAGATACAAGAGCCCACTTGTTCCTTCCACTTGTAAAAGCCTCCCTTGGAGGCTTGCAGAGATAACTTGGAGAAATTGCGGGGCTTAAGGTACCCTGGAGCTGAAAGACACAGGTTCTTGTAAATTTGAGTTTTTAAATGTTAGTTACTTTATTTCTACCTAGGATCATTTGGTTACAATAAGACATTTGTTTCTGTGAGGTTCTTAGTTGTCCCCTTGACAATTTGTTTTCCCCATTGTATGATGGGAAAATATAGCCTCATAATTTGGGATATTGACTTAAGAATTATGTTGGAAAACATTTTGC